CTTCGCTTTGAAGCAAGTTTTGCCTTTTTGGTCAGTTTGGTCAGTTTATAGCACGTGCGGGCGAAGCTGCACTGACGCAGTGCTGAATTCAAAAAGGCTATGAGCCACTAAAACCTTTCTCATGGACGACTGCACAAATGCATCGCTCTTTTTCGACGGAACGGTAGTCAGTGCTCAACCGTAAAATTAACTGCAAACCCTATGATTGATTAGCAATAATGATACGATCGATTGGTTCCAACATTATTGCGTGCATGTCACCTTCCAGAGTCGATACAATAAGGCCTTATATGTATTATGGGCCCATGAAACTCTTTACGTTGGATTGAGCCTTTTAATTTCTCAGGTAGTTTACTGACGAAACAGGTGTGGAAGGCAGTGGTTTTCTGAATGCAATCCGTTTCTATGAAATATGGCGACTACAGAAAAGTATAGCTTCAAGCACAGTCATTAGAAACGGGGGGACAGGTCCAGTGCAAGATGATCCATAGCTCTTAGATAAAAGACCGGGTTGACTCGTGGAATGCTAGGTGGAATCGATCCTATGGATAGTATCCACGCGAAAAGCATCAACCATTGACCAATGTGCTGGTTCTTCCCTCTAAACTGGCTTCACATTATATAACCTGTCCCTGAATAACTCCTTAACATTCACATCAGGTTGATGTCCTCATTGTTACCTGAGCGCCTGGTTTCCAACTGCACTCATAAAGTTCCCAGTCGACTCATCGCCCTCATTTTCGTCCCTTTGATGAAGAAATTTGTTGTGCACGAACGTTCTGAGCCAAATTGGGTGCCAAAGATGTTTTTCGACAAAGAAGAAATTCGGCCCTAGACGCCATAGGGAGCGCAACGCTCTATGGCCCGCCTCCTATTTATAATAGATGATAGCCACGGCGTCCCGTGAGGGTAGAGCAGGTTCTTCTCTATCTATAGAAGTTATCAAATCCAGTGCTAACAAGAAAGGGGTTGTTTTAATGGCTTCGGCCATAACTGCAATATGAATGGCGACCGTTATGGAGGCAGTCACTAATTAATTAGTGACGGTTACAGGCAAGGGCTAGTTTTAGAGTCAGGGATAAAAACTTCTTGGACTCCCCAGAAGCAATTCTCACCTAACCTAACCAGAGTCTTGGTTACTTATGAGGCCTCTAATTGGTGCAAACTCTTCTTAGTGCCGAAAGCGTTATCCTGCACATCAGCCGGTTTTGGAAGTTGTAGCACAGGTCTAAAATCCATTCTCGGGCTTCGTTTACATTCCTAACGAGGGTCAAATGCATGGACGACTCTAGGGATAAATTGACAAGCGTTGAATGCGTCTAGAGCTCTGGAATGCTTAGTGAAGCACTCAGAGAAAGGATTTCTTGCCTGGAATGAACTAGAGCGCGCATTTCTCCAGGGTAGCCTATTATTGAGACCTCCGCGAGAGTTGAACAAAAACTGACCCCGATGTTGGGAAGGCGAGATCGTTACCTGAACGTCTTCTCTCATTCAAACCTCTACGCTATTCCGAACGGAAGTCACATTTCAGCGGACTTGATGGATGATCGGTGGGATTTTTTGCGATCACGTTAAACGAACTTCACTTTCAATCTCTCCCAGTATCCCCGTGGACACTCCTCACCCAAATCCGGGTATTCTCTCTTTTGGATGACATTTTTCTTTCTAGCGATGCGTAAATAATTAGTATACCGGGTAAGGCGAATTTCCCTCTGTGGGTCGCTCCCTGAACGATCGCTTATCCCAACATTTCTGCATGCGAAGAATCGAAATGCTTTTCTTAGTGGAAACCGAATCCACATCTCGGATATCGTCGCCCGTAGTTCCGCTCCAACTCGGACCTAATATGAACAGCACTTTCCCACTTATAAAACTGCAACATGAACTCGTCGACAAAACCATTCTCGACAACACTTTTTTCAAAGCTACATGAATAATGATTTAGAAAGAGTAGTATTCTCAACAGTAATCCGCCTGATGGATGAAAATATCCAGAAGAAATGGCCAAAAGTCGATCGTTGAACTTGTGGCTGCTCAAGATTAATGCGAGGATTTGTGACATTTGGACGAGTTTACGTTGAGCAGATCCAACTTTGCTTTGTAGCAGTTTTGCCTTGTTAGCCATTTATAGTACGTGCGGGCGTCTAAGCTGCGGCTCTAAAGAAGACGCAGAAGGGTGACACATGTCGTCTACGAGCAAGAGCTTCAACACGGCTCCATGGAGAGGCGTATCAAATTGCTCAAAGTTTCTCAGCCATACGCAGCTCAAGCTGTTCAGAAAAGAGCTCTCCGGCAGGGAACCTACGAAAGGAGGCGCGAGAAACAACCCAACCAACTAACGCAATGCTGAATTGAAGAAGGGTATGATCCACTGAAAGCTTTTTCATGGACGACTGCACAAATGCATCGCTCTTTTTCGACGGACGGTAGTTAGTGCCCAACCGTAAAATTAACTGCAAACCCTATGATTGATTAGTAATAATGATACGACGGCGTGATCGATTGGTTCCAACATTATTGCGTGCATGTCACCTTCCAGAGTCGATTCAATAAAGGCCTTATACTATAGGCCCATGAAACTCTTCACGTTGGATTGAGCCCTTATTTCTCAGGTAGTTTACTGACGAAACAGGTGTGGAAGGCAGTGGTTTTCTGAATGCAATCCGTTTCTATGAAATATGGCGACTACAGAAAAGTATAGCTTCAAGCACAGTCATTAGAAACGGGGGGACAGGTCCAGTGCAAGATGATCCATAGCTCTTAGATAAAAGACCGGGTTGACTCGTGGAATGCTAGGTGGAATCGATCCTATGGATAGTATCCACGCGAAAAGCATCAACCATTGACCAATGTGCTGGTTCTTCCCTCTAAACTGGCTTCACATTATATAACCTGTCCCTGAATAACTCCTTAACATTCACATCAGGTTGATGTCCTCATTGTTACCTGAGCGCCTGGTTTCCAACTGCACTCATAAAGTTCCCAGTCGACATTTTCGTCCC